ATAATAATAATGATTATTATTATTATTATTTTAAAACCCAATTAATTTTTACTAAAGTTCAAACACCCTTCCAAGTGGCAAACAATTTAACTGAACTTTCCTCAGGCTGTTCCTCTTCTGAAACAGATCTGAACTGCTGCATTTGATTCTCTCATTCTGAGGAACATGAATACTTACAAAAATATTTGTAAAGACAGACAACCCCAGATTAAACGGCGGCTGTCTTGACAACAGGTTAAAAAATTATACAAAAATGGTATTTTAAAATACATACATAAATATACACACACACACACATATAAGTAAAGTTCCAAAGTCATATTTTTATAATTAGAGATTTAAAAAACAATTTCAAGCTTGTTCAAGGCTATTTTAATGCCCAAGGAGTTTGCTGTTCTAGTTAATACTAAAGTTACTTCAAAAAACAATTTACATTTCATGAAATCTTATTTTGGGTAAGTTATATGGTTTGGTTTAAGTTATATGGTTCCAACAAACAAGATTTTATTGTGGAATGGAAGTGCTATACAGAATGAGGGGCATTAAAAACCCAAACATATAGCTAGAGTAATCCTAATGACATAATGTGCTAACGTTGAATTATGGTAGCTTTTAAACTAGAATATCAGGTTACAGTCTCTCTTTTTATACCAAAAAGAATTTTTTAAAACTTGCACACCCAATTAGTCATTATAGTCTTCTAGCAGAAATGCTGGCTCATTCTTGATTCCCTAATTCAATAGAAAGTCTTTAGACCTATGAAATATTACCACTGACTATTACCAAGTAGGAAAATTCCATTTATCTCTAAGTATCTCCAGAATAAAATATTAATACTGTCATAGGATTATAACAAATTTTAAGCAAGCTCCTGCCTGCATATTTTGCAAGGTGCTTTGATTTTAGGATAAACTACTAGTCTCCAATTGCTAAGAATGTAAAAGGTATGTTGAACCAATTACAATGAACTATATATCACCCTGAATAAAGTTACTTTTAGCATATAAAAGGATAATTGTTTCCCCTTTGTGTCTTTCCCCTACTAAATAATGGTAATGACCTCAAGGTCAGGCATTTCCAGGAGTTAATGATGGCATGGGTTAAGGGCACTCAGCTGGTCATCAGCTCCTATCCATCTGTCATTATTGCTTTTGCAATTAAGGGTTTTACTGGAGTTTCTTGTTTGTTTTATAAGCAATACTGACCAGTGTTGAATCCAAACTATCATCTCAAAGAAATCGTTAATAATTCCTGTTTATCTCTTATGTAGCAGTTTACTGTAATTTGAATTGCTCAGTACAGAGCAATCTCCAGTATATAAAATGAACTGTCAAAGCAAATAATAAAGTCTGCAGAAATGCATCATGAACAAAAGTTTAAAACCCATCTATCTTACTCACCAAGAGCTGATGAGTCATGAAGTGGTCTTCGGCGTTGATTTGTGCCAGAAAATGGGTAGTAGGGTGTTCCAGGTTTTCCCGAGGATGACAGCTGACCTGGACTTCCAAGCCCCATATCTGACCGAAGCAGACTAGACTGCAAAATATACAGAGAAAAGTAAAACTAAGCTTATAACAACTCAGCTGTTAGTTAACCAGGCTAACAAACTATTAACCACACATACTGCTCTTGGCATTTATAGGAATTTACGGGGTTTTCAGTGAAGGTCTTAGAATTCAAAAAAAGGTTGACTTTTTAAAATTAGTATTCAGAGAATATACTATAGCATAATTCAGAAAGGCAGAGCAGGTTTGGCTGTGAGCCTCCAAAAAAACCCATAACCATTTCAGTTTAAAACATCTGAGAGAATCAATTCATACTTAAATTCTAAACAAAAAACATAATACTTTTAGTTTGCAATGTTACACCTCTTCTATTACACAATATAAACATAATTGATAAAAACTGCTAAAAGAGTTTATAGCGTGACATTAGGTTTTAGCACATACTTAGAAATCCAGACTTATATTACATTCATAAAAACATGGAATAATTGTCCAAAAAAATCAATTCAGACAAAAGAGATAACACATAAGATTAATGGACAGAACATAAAAAATTATGACATTTTAAACTTCAAACCAACAACACAGTTGAACCCTATCCTTTTTGTTCCCTTTTCATGCAGTAAATACAAAAATATTCTAAACATTTAACAGGTGTGTTACATATTGTTTGGCCTCACACTATTTGGATTTCTTCTGTGAAACTGAAATGAATGTTGGTGACTTATGAGAACATAGTTTTTCCATGGTTGATACTATGCTTTGCCTTGTTTTAGTCTGAAAATCCCCAGACTTAGAGTGAAACCCACATGACTGTTTATACAGAAAACATAATGCCATGGGTCAGGAAAAATGCATTCACCGCCGCTTCACTCCTGGCTGTTGCATACAGCTTTCTTCATACAGCAGAATCCATTCTGTTACGCATAGCTAAAGACACTTTGCTTTTAATATTTGCAAAGTCAGACAGTGTTTTAGGGTCACTGTGGAACCAGCAACCTTCAGAAACAAGTGATTTGATTTCTTCATACTTGGTCATCACGTAGTGCAGTCCTCCCATTATAAAGGGTGTAAAGCACGCTGTCGGATGGCAGGGCAACAGTTATGTTTTGCCTACAGTCAAACTGCACTAACATTTCAATACTCAGATGATGCTAAGCCAGAAACTGCTGACTGACTGAACTTTTATAACAAAACAAACTTGAGGTGCCACCTAGTTAAAGTTTCTCCTTCAGCCCCATTGCTCCCAAGCCAACTTTCCTCCTCCCATCAAGTGGGATGTGAAAGAGTCAACTCAATTTCTTCATTCTAACTATAAAACAGTCTTTAAATCAGAATTGGTAATACGAAACTCATATTGAAATGAAATACCCTCCTAAGGAGTGAGGTGATCTTTAAACAAAGTATATAGAAAGCATACAGTGGAGGGGAATCTGCTTGTAGACTTGCAAAATTTGCTAATTTTGCCTCTGATGGACAGTTACGGGTTTATTGTTTTGCAGAAAGCAATATGATTATCAGAATATCTGGCTTACATAGTACACTAAGTCTGAATTTAGCAAAGATGCTATTCTAAACATTTATTAGAATTTTGGTGGTAAACACTGTGCAGGAAACCTGGCCAACCTTTTGTGAAAAGCAGTTGCTCCAAACTAATGCTGTCCAAAAGAAGAAATGAAACCAGTTCTGCACTTAGCCTAAAACTTGACTTTCAGCCCAAGAATACCCGGGACTGAAGGAAAACTTCTTTACACAGCCAATGGGGAAGGAGAGGAAGTATTATGATAGTTGTCATTTCAGGTAGCTGAAGCAAGGTCCCACTCACAGGATCCCAACTGCTGGCATTGGCAGGGACCTCTGGAGCTCATCTAGGCCAGCCTCTGCTTGCTCAGAGCAGCTGTCAAACACAGTTAGGAACTGTGGCCCATTCACGTTAAAGACAACCCTCCCTGCTCCTCCTGATCATTGGCAGTGATTTTGGAAATGCAATGGGATCCATACAGATGCCTCCAAAAAAAGGGGTGGAAGGGTTCTTAGTTCCTCTGTTCCTCTCTTTGTTAAGGGGGAGGGAGGGGACATGGCAAAAAAAACCCCAAACCAAACCACCAACCAGAAAACCCACCAGTAAAAACTCTTAAATTCACTCCTACCAAGCCATTCCAAAAGGCATGTGTCTGTATGTTTTCCAGACTTAACCTCCGACCTCTCCCTTGTGACATTTGCCACTCTTGCTTTTGTCTTAAGCATTCCAGTTCTTGACATTTTCATTGGACCTTGAATTTCAAAGCAGCACGGCTACCAAACAGCATAAAGTAAGTGTATAAGTCATATACTTCATACCCAGTGAATTTCAAGCTATGCAACACACTAAAGAAGTTTCCTGATCTCTGTTGTGCTTGAGTAAGAAATTATTTTAAAAAAAAAAAAAGGGGGAGGGAACAACGACATGCTCCTCCAAAACCACAATCCTCTTCTACCATTCTCACAATCAAATGAAGCATCTGTTTAAAATTTTGTAATTGTTCCTCAGTCTTCCAAAAGAAAATAAAAATAGATGTCATTAGTTCAGCTTATTGATTTTTCTGTCTGTCTGAACCAATTGAGAAGCAATATTGATTAGGACTGATCCTTTCCTAAGGGCATCTGATAAAGAAAGGAATACAAAAATACCACTGAGGATAGCAAAAAAGCTTCATACTATTAGCACCAAGCTTCTCCTGACTAAGTGCCTGAGGTCCCCACACAGAGGCGGATCACTTACATACGTAGTTTGCAGCAGTATCCACAGAGAACATTCACGCTCACTCTGAACCTCATCTGCCAAGCATGGATCCAATTACTAAAGAATAATCAATGACTGGTTATTCTCCTGAACACTGCCGAGTCCTGTCTGCATTACCCTTATAAATAAAGAGGCATCACCCTTCAAAATTTGCCTCTCTGGATTTTAAGGCGTATTTCCAGCTTCAAGATAAACAAGAATTTATTTAAAGCAGTATTTTCCCTAAGGAATGTATGTTTAATAACCAACCTAAAAAAACCAAACCAACCAACCAAACAAGAAAAACCCACAAAAAAAACACAACAAAAAACAAACCAAAAAAGGCTTTTATTACAATCAACTAAGAACACAGCAAGCCTGATACCAAAGAGAACAGAGAAAAAAAGGTAAACATGACTGGTTTACTTTTCAAGTTTATCCCTTTCAGCAAAACCAAGAAACAGTTTTGACAGCCTCAGGGGAAATGGCATGGCCTCACCCAAAAAATAAAGGCTTTTACAAGGGCCACTATCTAGACAAATGCTTTAAAGGGGTCCTTTTCCTAAAAAGTATTCTCAGAAAAATGAAATGCAGGGGAGTGACCTATTCAAACATTGCAAGGGCAAGGTGGAGGAAAAAGGATCATATCTGCACATGGGGGAGTGTGCGCATATGCACCTTTGTCACAGAAAACAAGTAACTTTGTATTGCAGCTCCACTTATGTGCACACAAAGTTAGCTTCCATTCAAACTAACAAGCTAATCAACCATATGCTTGTATCAAAATGGTATGCCTGAGATAAAAAAAAAAAAAGCTCCTTACTCAACATTTTAAAATGGCTTTTGAGTTGATTCTTCCAAAGAATTTGAGTATAAAAGTAAGAATGAGTTTGACTACTTTGGAAACATGACTGGTTTACTTTTCAAGTTTATCCCTTTCAGCAAAACCAAGAAACAGTTTTGACAGCCTCAGGGGAAATGGCATGGCCTCACCCAAAAAATAAAGGCTTTTACAAGGGCCACTATCTAGACAAATGCTTTAAAGGGGTCCTTTTCCTAAAAAGTATTCTCAGAAAAATGAAATGCAGGGGAGTGACCTATTCAAACATTGCAAGGGCAAGGTGGAGGAAAAAGGATCATATCTGCACATGGGGGAGTGTGCGCATATGCACCTTTGTCACAGAAAACAAGTAACTTTGTATTGCAGCTCCACTTATGTGCACACAAAGTTAGCTTCCATTCAAACTAACAAGCTAATCAACCATATGCTTGTATCAAAATGGTATGCCTGAGATAAAAAAAAAAAAAGCTCCTTACTCAACATTTTAAAATGGCTTTTGAGTTGATTCTTCCAAAGAATTTGAGTATAAAAGTAAGAATGAGTTTGACTACTTTGGAAGGGCTTTTTTTCCCCAGCCCAACTCTGAATCTTTAGAATCCCAAAGATAAAATCTGATGCCAAAAATACTGCTCTGCCTTCAATGAACTTCTAGGACACCAGCCAGCAGAATTCTAATATGTTGGTAAACACTTCTTTGATATTCTTACTCTGATATTAAAGAAAAAAAAAATGTGGACAAGTAAAGGCCTACAGATGTCCTTATGTAACATTCCTTGCAGCTCTCCAGCATTTAGGCTGTATATAGATAGGAAAGCCAAGCTATCTTGCAAAATACACAAACATTTTTAACAAACACACTCCATACACTACACTACCATATATAGGGGTTTACCTTTTAAAAAATGTATTTGTTATAGGCACTTAGCCTTGTGCTTCTTGGTCTAAATCTCATTCACAGTCATTTTTTTAAATGCAAACCTATTAGCAAACACTTTAAGAACTCAGATTTTCCTGGCGTAGCCATAGCCAAACTATACAATAGTTTCATCCAAATACAACTGTGTGCCTTTACATTATTCATTATTTTCTATCAAAAGAATAATATGGTTGAGAATAAAAGCATTAGCCCATTATATGCAACTGATTATGACAGCGCCATTGTGCTAGCATAATAAGGCAGGCTGCTTTGGCAGTGAAATGAGAGCTGCAACTTACCAACTGCAAACTTAGATCTTAAAACCCTTGTGTGTCACACCCCCCCCCCCCCCAAAATAAACTAGTCAACTAGATTTTATTTTTCCTAGGTTTTTTTGCATTAGCTTCCTTTTCAAAAACTTTATGCTTTGAGTCCCAGTAGTCAGGCTGTCCATATTTAAGGCAGGAAAAGTGTCTAAACTTGTTTTTTTAAAGTACTGAAGTGTTTAGTTAA